GTATATTATCTTTCATCCTTAAGCTGGCTCCTTCCCACATCCTATCTTTACCTCTAGTCAAAGCTCAGGAATTCACAAAACCTGATTATCAGTGTGCTGTTTCATGTGCTGTTTCAGGTCTGTGTCCAAATGAAAAACTTGTAGATGAGTTGTAGGCTAACTTTTCAAATGTCTGGGTAGCATGTGATTCAGCACCAATAATAATTTTGGTGCATATGCAATATAAATATTTTCCTTATTTTTAAATGAAGAAACGGATTTTTGAAATCACATGTCTAAATTAATCCAGCAGATCAGTGTGAAAACTCAGTTGAGGAACTGTTTCTCCAGGTATAGAGGCTTTGTATCACAGAGCATTCACTATTTATTAAGATTGTATAGATCTTTTACTTGATTCATAAATCTCTAAGCACAGGATAAGGCCATTCAGTTGTTTTTAACTAGCAATGTACTATCATAGAAATCTTGTAAATCAATTAAAAGTTTGACGTAACCCTCTGTGTTTTATTTGCAGTTACAATACAGAGCTGTAGGAGAAAATAAAGGCAGAGGAAAAGGATTGTGTAAGGAATTATTTACAGCTTTATCACTTACAGGCTTTTTACCTAAATATAATAGCAGTTCTTGTAGCTACAACAGCAGTGCCTCGAGAAGGAATAATTAACTAAGCTAGTCATCAGCAAATGAATAGGTTTGCATAAATACTAAGCCCACACTCTTTGCTTTTGCTCACAGAGTCTGGCATCCTTGAGTCTCAGTGTGCCTGACTCTGAACCAGAGGAGGGCGAGGGCGGCAGGCTGGCTGACATTGGTTTTGGGAGGTCCTGTTCCCCCACATCAGTTTCTCTGGATTTCCAGAGAAACACCACCAGCTTATGGCAGCAGTGTTGGCCACACAACCACTGGGTGCTGTTTAATTATGCTGAGTGCCACTAACAGAACCAGCCACTATAAAATTTTATCTTGTCATTGCATAAGATAGGTGCTTCATGCCTTAGGAGACAGGAGCAGGTATGGCCGATCCCACAGGTGATCTAGAGTCAGGCAAAGATGTGGAAGATCTGACAAAAAGCTTGGAGGAACTCTGTGAGAGCTCTAAGGAGCAGAGTGAGGAGGTGCTACTGCTTTCACACCTAGAACAGCATCATCATCTTGTCTCTATACTGAAGAGGAAAGTGAATGATACAGACAAACGCTGCAGATACCTGGAGCAGCTCAACATGGAGCTGGAGAAACTGAGGGGAGGATGCTGTGAAAATTAAAACCCATACCCAGGGTATTCAGTATTTGGAGGGGTGCTTCATGGATCTGGTCAAAAACCACAAAAAGATGATCCAGTTCAAAAATGAACACAAAAACCAGCACATGCAGCTGTGGGAGGAGAACACGTGCCTGTGGCAGGACAGGGAAGCACTCTTCAGCCAGGCTGTGAGGGAGAAGGAAGTTGAAGTGCTCCAGCTGGCAGCCCAGGCCAGGAAGCTCTCACAGCAGTTATGCTCCTTGCAGGAGAAATATGCTTCTGAGAGTCACAGAGCCCAGGAGCGAGAGAAGGAGCTGCTGGAAGCTCAGAGCCAACAAGCAGATGCCTATGCCCAGGAGGTGGATTCATGAAGAAGCAGCTGCAACTCCTACAGGAGAAGCACCAACAAGCTGCAGCAAGGGCTGAGCAGGCAGAGAGTCAGCAGAGGGCTCAGGGCAGTGAGCTTCAGGCCAAGCTGGAAAGAGCACATGAAGAGAAAGAGCAGCTACTGAACCTGGCCATGGAGAGCAGCAAAGCTCTGCAAGATAAGGAGCGGGAGATTGAGAAACTGGAGATGAAGCTAGAGACTGGGGAGGAAGAAGCCATGCAGAGAGCAGGAAGGTTCCTCAAGAAAGAGGCAGCAGCAGTAGACAAAGAGCTGAAGGTTCAAGAGCTCCAAGGACAGCTAGAACACAGCAAACTGGCGTACAGTGAACTCCTGCTGTAGTTCAATCCTTACAGAAAGCACAGTATAGATTTACTGACTAAAGAGAGAGCTCTGAATGTCAAACTCCGTCACTTTGTTGCATAACTGCAGTTTTTTTCTCTGTTCTCCTCTCAACAGGTGCCTCTGTGGTAACAAACCCCTGAATTTTGTTTCTCTCCATGGGACCATCCTCTGGTTTCTTTATACTGTCCTGACCAGCTTAAACCCTCTTCCACTGACAGTTCTGCAGCCCTTTTGTCATTACGCCTTTCTGAAAGTAAATCACTACACTCTTAAATCTGAACATGGATCATTGAACTAGTCAAACCTGTGACATGAATGATTAGGGTGGAAAACAAAATATGAATTTGATTTATTTAGTGCTAACCTCTGCTGAATTATATGTTTGTTTGGTTGATTTTTTTTTTTTTAATAACTTTATTTTTCAAGATGACCAAAAGCTCAAACCCTTAGCCTTTTGTATTTGATTCTGCTTTGAAGTTCAACAGAGGCTCTGAGGCTCCAAGAAAGAAATCCTACCTTGCAATATCTCTGCAAGTCTCTAAATTCAGGAACTTAACAGGTAATCCAATAATATCATACAACAACTGATTCTCAAGCAAATTACTGTTTATAGTTTTCTAGTAGTCTTACAGATTTCAGCAGTCATTTAAACCTTATTTAATGCCAGAGTAGTATTTATATCCCCATTCAGCTCAGAATAAATTGTCAAGTCTTTTGGATTATTTCAATCTGTTCTCTGGAATGGGACAATGTTCTAGATGTTCCACCAGGGTTTTTCTCCTGTTTTTATCTGTTTCCTGCAGATAAATATTAATGATACACTCTTCCATTTTGTGCATGTCTGGCAGCTTTTGACAATAAGAAAAATCTTCCCTGTCAGCACTGTGGGATCCAGAGACCTCCCACTCTCTCTTGCTGGTCTCCTAGGCACGAAGATTTTTGCTGCTGAATTTCAGCTCTGCTCTTTAAGTCTCCAACAAAAAAAAACTCCAAACAACCCCCATGAGGGGCCAAACAGCATCCCCTAAATGGGCTGTAGGCAGCTGCCTCCAGAGTACCTCAAGTTCTTTGCCACATGCTTATGCCTGGGGATGACTCAAGAATTTAGGAAATGGATTGAGTATTTCTTGGTCCTGAGTATCTATAAGCCACAGCACAGTATCAGAGTTATCTATTGAGGCCATTTACAGAAGTGACTGGAAGCAGCAGGTCTGGAGGCCAGTGACCAGCTCGTCTTAAGGACTGGCTGGATCAGATGTAGTTTCTAACTCTGGTACAGGCTTCCCAGAGGAGCTATGGATGACCCCACCCCTGGAAGTGTTCAGTGTGAGGTTGATAGGGCTCTGAGCCACCTGTGAAAGGTTTACCAGCTCAAGGCAGGGGGGTTGGAACTAGTGATTTTTAGGGTCCGTTTCAACCCAAACCATTTTGTGATTCTGACTACAAAGCAGCAGCTGCTAGCAGCCTTTCTTCTGAACTTCTCTGGACTGCCCTTGAACCCAGGCAAAGCCAGGTGAGAAGTATTGCTCTACTACCTGCTGTGTGACGAACCACAACATTTCTCCTGATCCTGGCTCCTACAAGTGTCATTCCACAGCTGTTTTATGGACCACATTCTCCTACTTTTTAACCATACTTCCCTGCTCTGAGGTGCCACCCCACACACACATTTCATTAATCTCAGTGCTGGCAGCTACAGTGTAAACTCCAACTGACTCACATTACATACACACTGTGCCCTTGGTCTGAGAGCTGGCTGCTCTGTTTGAATTAGTCCATTGGCAATGTGGAGCACCTGTATCCCTCTGGTCACTGCAAGGGACCCTGAGACCAGGTGTCTAAATCTCTAAATCTGGGCAGAGGACACTCGCTCGCTTGTGTGACAGAGCAGCCCCACAGGCCTCTGCCACAGCCATGGGGTGTGGTGGGAAAGACCCCACATTCTGCACTCTTCAGGGACATCCCCCTTCCCACCCTTTGGCAACGGCTGAGTGTGAGAGACCTTCCCCCCTGCTGCCTCACACACAAACCCCTCGTCACTGCCCCCATTCCCTCCTTCCCTCCCCATCACTCACACTCGCCCCTCCTGCACACCCACATCCATTTCCTACACACCTCTCATCACCCAAACCACACACGTATCCCCTCACACCCCCAGCCTCCCACACCTGTCACCCTGCTGCCCACAAAAATCAGATTTGTTACCTGGTGTGCAACAAGCCAATAATTACACATGTGAGACATTCGTTTATTTCAGAGTTGCACAAACCTGGGTGCTCAGCGGTATTCCACAAATCAAACACTGACTATCAAAACTTTTTACTATTTATAGGTTTCAGCAAACAAGGGAATTGGTGTTACAAGCTAAGTTATCTAGTTCTTTTATTAATTGGTATTCTATCACTTGATGGTTCTCTCTTGCAAATTAGTTGGCATGCTCAAACTTTCTCTTTTTTTGGAGTGGTCCATGAGGTGGTAGATGGGATATGCCCCTGCTGGAATTATGTTTTACCCAGTCAGAACTGATTTAGCACAGTTGCCCCGTTGGGTTTATTAATTTATTCCTTATCGTGGGAGTTCTGCCCGATGTCCTTGTGGCCCGTAAATTCTACATTCTTTGTGTCCGCTATCAGCAGTACATCCTTCTTCCCTAGCTTTGTTACCCTCCCCCTAGCTCTGAGGTCATTGAAACACGTTGAGCCCTAAACCTTAAGAAAGCAATTCCAGTGACAATTCATTTGTCCTTCTAACACCTGGAGATCCCTTAGAGTTTGTTGGCTGCTCGCTGTTTCATGGATTTCCCTTCTCGTTGTTTAGGCTTGAAAGTACACAAAGATCAAACGTCAAAGAATATCCTCATTCAACAAAATCCTCACCTACTCCACGCTCGGTAACAGCTGCCCCCACCCCCTCCCCTCATTCCCAGACGCGGCTTTCCCGCGCGCGGGCGCAGTCGCGAGGCGCTTCCACCGCCCTCCCCCCGCGCCGCTTCCCGGCAGGCCCCGCGGCGGGAGCGCCGGGCCGCAGCCGAGCTCCGCCCGCTGTCCTCAGCCTCCGTTCCGTGCGCCGGGCCCTTCTCCCGCCGCTCCCGCCATGCGCCACAGCCTCACGCAGCTGCTGGCGGCCTCGGCCGGCGGGGCCAGCCCCTCGGGCGCCGTCTGGCCGCTGGCCGGAGCGGGGCAAGCCCCGAGAGGGCGGGATGGCGGCGGGGAAGGGGACCCGGGCCCCGCGCGGCCCAAACCGCAGCCGCCGCCGCGGCGGGAGCCCCCGGGCGCCTCGGAGCCGCGGCGGCAGGAGAAGGAGGCCGAGGCGCCCGGCGGCCCGCTGGAGGTGTGGGAGCAAGAGGACTGGTTCCCGGGGCTGGAGCTGGGAGACCTGCTGGAGGCGGCCCGGCCGGACTGGGACCTGGACGCGGAGCTGAGCGACTGCTTCTGTGGGGACCCGGAGCCGCTGCCCGCGCCGGGCAAGGGCCCGCGGCCGGCGGCGCCCGGGCGGAGGAGCGGCGGGGCCGGGAGTCGGCTGAAGGCGGCGGCGGCGGCGCGGTTGAACCGGCTGAAGAAGAAGCAGTATGTGCTGGGGCTGGAGAGCCGCCTGCAGGGCCTGGCTGCCGAGAACCGGCAGCTGCGGGACCGCAACCGCGGCCTGAGCCGCCGCCTGCGAGAGCTGGAGCGGGAGAGCAGCTACCTGCGGGCTGTGCTGGCGAACCAGAGCGCGCTGGGGCAGCTCTTGAGCCGCCTGGCCGGGACCCGCGCCGGCGGGCTGCAGCTCAGCACCAGCCTCTTCAGGGACACGGGCAGCCCCCGCCGCCAGCACCAGCACCTCCAGCCCGCCGGCGAGAGCAGCGACCACGACTACGCCCTGCCCAGCTCCCGGCCCCGCGGGCTGGAGGAGGCGGCGGCCGTGCCTGAGACGGAGGAGGAGTGGGCGGCCCCCGGCGGGATCTGCCTGCACGTGGACCGGGATCAGGTGTCGGTGGAGTTCTGCTCCATCTGTGCTCGGCGGGCAGCGGCCTCCTTCAAAATGTAGGGTCAAGTACCTGCTGCAAGTACTCGTGGGGTTCTCACCCGTCAGGGCCTCGCGTCGCGGCGGAGGAAGCAGGCGATGGTGCGGAGGAAAAGAATCCATACAGTGGTGATGGGGTGGTATTGGGGGAGATGCAAAGGAGGGGAACCTGGTGCTTACTTAAGTGGCCAGGGTAACAAAAATTCTCTCGAACGGCATGTTGGGAGCCAGACGGTGGCCTTGGTTTAAGGTCCTGTAAATCTGGCGTGTGGACGGTAGTGGTGTGAGCCTGTTTGGCGATGGGAGTCGCGCAGAGCTGTGTGCAGCAGTGCGACAGTGGTCGTGCACACGCCGAGGTGCACACGCCGAGGTGCCGCCAGAGCCCGTTCGCAGCACTTGGGTGAAAAGATCATGCCGACTTGATGCATGAAGGTGTGCTCGGCTCCACTTCGCAGTAAAGATAATGCTGACTACCCGGTCTTGAGTCAGATAATGTCTAGCCTGCTTATCCTGAGGAGCCGAAAATGCTTGCTTAGAAAACCAAACAAAAACTCCATTATGACATCGTCACTGGACAGACTTAAGAAAATAGTAATGATCGGCAAAAGAAAGCATGCATATAAAATTGTACTGCATCTCAGTTATACATTACTATTAAAACCTCTCTGACAGTTTCTCTTTTAGGTGGTTGCCCTGCCAGGCTCCGTTGTGTAGGGGTTAAAGAACAGTCGTTTTCCACCTCGCAACCTGGTAAGGATCAATATATTCCCATAATGTGGTATCAGACAGCTTGCTTTGCTTATCCCAGTCTGTCGTAATGACTGGTTCAGAAAATTATTTCTCTGGTCCTTGGCCTACTCTGCCAAAATGTTTCTAGCTCTGGATGACAATTTATAGTAAAGGTTAAAATCACATCAGTCTCATTAGCTGTTTTCCTTTTTTCGTTTTTGAAACAACTACACTGGCTACATAGTAGCCAATATGGGAACTACATTTTGAATTTTAAAAAACTGCTCATGCATTCGAAATAGAAATTTCCCATTTAACCAAGTATCTGATGAGCAGAAAAAGGAAAATACGCTAATAAGGGGGATGTGAAACTTACAGCCTTTTATTACAGGGGACTGTCCCAAAAGTATAAGTAAATTGCTTTTTGAATGAAAAAAAGAAAATGAATTGGTGACCTGTTGGTTTAAAATGCTGTCTAGTATTAGGGATGCACAGTACCATTCAAAAGCCCTTTTCTACTTGCTCTAATTCACAGTGTAGAGTTTTACCTGATGAAACAGCCTGAGCACTGGTTAAGTCACTGCAGAGGAATCCTCACATAGAGGAGTTGCTCTTGCATGGACCTCTAAGGAGAATTAGGTTTGAAGAATCAGTGCATCGAAGTAACTCATTACTTTACCTTCCCATAAGTAAATCTGTGCCCATGCACACTGAAATTCCTATGTTACTTCAGAGTAGCTTTAAATTTTAAAAATATTGCATGTATACGCATGTGCTTAACTCGACTGTAGAGTTCTTAATTTAGCCTCATACAGTATCCAGAAATCTGTAACCTGATATAATTAAGCATAGTTTGGAGATAAAGAAGTATGTATCTTGAGGCTAATGATATGAAAAACGCTCCATAATTGCTCCTGAGATAGGAGGAGAAATAGTTTGACAAAAAAATAGTGTGTGTTTTCTTGTAGTAGTCAGTGTTTCTCCCTGTCACAGAAGATGAGTGGGTTCTTTTTTCAGTTGTATTATAATGTTTAGGTTGTTTAAATGTATGTCAGTGGGGGAAGAAGGATTGTGAAAATGATAATATGTAAAGTGAGGTTTCACAAAGAATACTTTTCTAAAACAGATTATTATTATTTTTTTTTAATTATGCTGTTTAGTGTTTTTGAAGTCTTGTTTCTTAAAGCCTTAAATTTTGTGTTTAAGGCTAAGTAGGTGAAAGCATTTTCTCCGAGTCAATTGCTTTGTTGGTGCTAGACCCTGTCACGTGTTCATCAGTAGAAAAGGAGTTTGATTTTTCTTTGTGAAACATCACTGTGTGATAAAGTATATGTGTATTTAGCATCCTTGTTTTTCTTTATGCTAAAGTGGATTCAGCTGTGTTGGGGCAGAAGAGACGGGACCAGCTGCTGGCCACATTTCCTGCTTTATTTTAAAAGGTAGTATAAGAAATGAGAATAAAGAGGTAACAGGGCTTTTGCTGTCTTTGGTTAAAAAAAAGAAGTTGAATGCTGGGATTATTTACTGTCATCCAAGATGATTTTTTTTTTAAAGGCAGTAGTCTATCCAAACAGGTTTTACTCCACTGTATGCAGAATTCCATCTGTTCAGGGGATATTGCCAGCACAAAAGAGACACTTAGTGGGATATGTGTGACCTTACACCTCTGCGGTGGCATCAACAGGGCTGTTCAAAGTTTCAGTCTTAACTTGGGTAACTCTGCTGTAACTGATGGGTTATACCAGTGAACAGGAGTCAGAGTTAACCACCAGGACCTGCACTGACTGGTATGCAAAATGGAAATAATTTAGATTCAACCTAATCTCAACCTGCCTAGCTCAGACTTCATGAACGTGCTTTATTTTTCAGTTTAATGGGCTTGAGGAAAAGAGAAACACTAATGTAGCAAGCATGGGATGTTCCAGTGGCATTTTTATGGTTACTTCAGTGTAGGAGTGTTTTTTAAGTTAATTTAAATATGCATTCTTTCTTGTTGCATCACTGCTGAATGGCAGGGTCAGGGACAGTTCTTCTGGCCTCTGCTGTGAACCTGCACAATGCTCTGTTGTGACACGACCTGTGGCTGTGTCTGAGAGCAGCTGATTTTCTGACATGCAAAATTATGTATTGTGGTACAAGAACAAGGTCAAGTCCCAAGAAAGTCAGTGGCTGCAGGCATTTCTAGTGCCTACTGAATCATATTTAAACCAAATAGAAGGGAGGAAGTTATTTGAAACTAACCAACTGTACTATCTGTATGGTGTATTATTAATGTAGCTTTTTGAAGTGAAAGCCTTGAAATGACATAACTTAATACTTGAAAATATATTGTAAATGTTTCTTTGTAATTATGTGCCATTCAGATGAGAATACAATATCATAATAAAATCAGACTTGTTGATCTTTCAGTTTATGGGCTCAAATGTTTTTTCATCTTTTTCTTTTCATGAATGACTTGGTTCTTTTAAAAAAGTGGTAAAACAGAAAGGGGAAAATGTTGCTGCTATCTCTGGGTCATCAACTGGAAAACACAATAAAATGGATCAGGTTATGCAGGAGAAATGTTCTTGCTCTTTGGAGGTCATTATGTGGTGAGGACAACACAAAAGTGTTATTCCTTGAACTGCAGATAGAGCTGTACTTCTGAGCATCAGCACTTCTTGTATTTCATAGCTGTTCTTAATTGTTTTATTAATATGGATATGTTTGATCAGTATACCATGGAGGAGTAAAATAGTTACATAAACCCTACTGTGGTTATTGGCATCTTCCTCCTTTCTGTTCTGTTTTTAGGCTCTGAAGTTTCGTGACTGGTTAATTACATGCTGTTGAATCACAATCTTTGATCAAATTGCTATTTCCACCCTAAACACTGGAGTGAGTGTTAAAAACAAAAGTTGACAATGCTGAAAGGACAGAACATTTTCGTGGCTCCAGAGTGGGCAGTGCATTGTATGTTCAGATTTCTGTTCATCTTAAATGCTTTATTTGCAGAGGACAGTTTAAAATAGTGCACTGGCTTGCTAGCATGAGGGAATTCTAGTGAAAGTGGTCTGCAGCTTGATAAAAAGGAGAATTTCACAAAAAATACTGCATAAAAATGTAAAAGCATACTGGCATGCTCTGCCTTTTTGGCCTCTAATTGTAGAAAATACCCTGTTCAGCAGTGAAACCTGCTTGGTGAATTGTATGTACCACAGAACCAAGTGCTGCCAGTGTTCAGCTGCACAGCTGTGCTACCTGCATTTACCCTTTTTTTCTTCTCAACAGAGTCACTTGAAGACTATTTAGTGTTTAAATAAGAAACAATTTCATGCTCAGTTCTCCTTTAGTCTTTTGGAGTTTGATTTTGGTACTGTGTCTCTTGGTAATATTCTAAATTAACTTCTCTTTCCTCTGAAGAGCTTTGCAGCATCCGGGAGTTAAAAACAAATCGGTGTTTCTGTAATCTGTAGCTGCCTGGAGAGATGATACCAAAGGAAATGCAGGGAGCCATGTTCCAGCACTTGGCATTTCCAGATAGTCAGATTTCTCATGCCATTTGTCAAAATTTTAATCAGTTTTCCTTGTGAAACATAGGGATCTTTGGCAAAATCCAAAGGCCCTTTGTACATTTACTGATTTTTAAAATGCTGTGTTTTCTGGAGTTTGTAGTTAAGGAGGTTTTCTGCTGGAATCTGCAATATTCTGGCTATTGGGCTGTATTACTATTAGTTACACTGTAAAATGTCTGAAGGATATGTTAGGTATGGGAGCTGTTCAAAGGACTCTGTTTAAAGAACACCATGTGCAAAAATTGCATGTTACCAGCTGCTGATTCTACATTTTCCCACCCAGTTTAAGTGGGATATGCAGATGTGGAGAAATAACTCTGCCTGTGCTCATTAGCAGGAGGATGCCAAGGGCAGGACTTGCACATGTACCAGGAGGATTTGCAGGAGAAGTAGAATACATTGTAATGTGGAGACAGCATTTAGAATGGTGCATCTGCAAGAAAAAAAGTGGAGCTTTTTTAGTATTTCTCTTGGCTCTTATCTGTAGCTGTTCTTGGCATTCTTTTGGCCATAGCTGAGACTTGCAGTAGCCTGAAGTCCTTTCTGTAGGATATGTAGCCTGTGCCTGGCTTGTTTCCACTACAATGTGGAAGAAAGGATCCAGCTGACACCTGTTGTCACTCAGTGTTTGTGGGGAGTGTATTACAGTTGCCAGAGGCCAAGGACTGGTTCTTGGGGGTTGTAGGAGATAGGTCATATCCTGTATGAAACAGGAATGGAAGGAACATTCCCAGATTCCTGTGCAGACACTCCTCCACATCATGCATGTCAGAAGTGGGATAGTGTCTTGGTGTCCTGTGGAATTCTGAAACAATTTCAGACTTTATTGGTTGACTTCTGAGAACAGTTCTTCCCCTCAATAGTTTGAGAAGTACAGAGGCTGTAGCTGAAGTTCCTTGTTCACAAACACAGCGACTTTCTAGTCTCAGGAGCCTTCGGCTGACCTTTGATGTGACTAGTGCTGAACATGTAAAGTACGTGCCTGCAATCTGTGTTCATCAGTGATGCTGGAAAAAATATCAGTCTTTGCAACTTACTAAAAATGTTGAGAAATATAACTTTTTTTTTTTTTTTTTTTAATATACAATCTTCACCTTTCACTTCAAGAAATGAGTATCTAAAAGGATGTGGTTTGTCCAGGTCAGACCACTAAATATCAGAACATGCATTTTGGTGACTGAGGATAATTATCACTTCAATTTATACCAAAATGAAAGTAGTAGTATATGGAAGGAAAGGTCCTTTTGAATCTCACCCTTTAATAAGCACTGGAATCTGTTTAGAGTATTTTAACTATATAATGTTAAACATTTGCAATAAGCATTGAGCCAGTCATTGTCATTCTTCAAGATGCTATTGCACAATAACACATGTATTTTATGTTTTTATTATCACAGGTAAGTGGTTCTGTTGGTTTAAGTCTGATGGCTTCCGGAGATATGACAATTCTGTCATGTAAAATACTTGGTCCATGGGAATCTCCAGTCGGGGTGATTAAGGTAAGGCCAAGCTGTCTGGGTGCAGACCAGGATGGGAACACCACATGACACAGCAGCACTCTGAATCAAGAAAACTAAATGATCTCTACCTAACAACAAACAGGAGTCTATTGCTGCTGCTCCTGGGTATAGATAAAGAATGTGTCATGTTCCTGCTGTAATGACCCATTTTTAAGGAAAAGGTAGATAAAGATGATGAAACTCCTTCAATATATTTTCATCAGCATTACAGCATAAATTTTAACCCCTTTCAATTAAAGGTCTCAATGCTGAATTCTTAATTCTCATTAATAAATATTTCCATGTGCATCAGGGGATGCTAGAATTTTACTGAAGTGACTGTTGACCAGTAACTGTACAGCTTTTACAGTCAGAGAACCATTTAGGTTTGGAAAGACCCCCAGGACCATGGAGTCCAACCTTTCACTCATCACCAGCTCCTTGACTAGACCATGGCACTGAGTGCCACATCCAGTGGCACTTGATCACCTCTAGGGATGGTGACTCCTGCCACCTCCTGGGCAGTCCATTCCAATGCTTAACAAGCCTTTCTGAAACAAAATTCCTCCTGATGTTCAACCTGAAACTTCCCTAGCACCATTTGAGGCCGTTTCCTCTTGTTCTGTCATTTGTTCCCTGGGAGAAGAAGCCAATCCCCACCTACAGCAGGTTAAGACCATACAGCAGATTCAGAGTATTGCTTCTGTAGAAGAATTCCTGAATTGGCTCTCAGACTGCAGAATACACTAAGGACACCTCGGGCATTTTATATTGCTCTAGCACATACAGCCACCAATGTGAAGACACACCCAACTCATAAATGCATTACTCTTGGACATAGCTGAGATATCCCAGTAATGGCACCAGCCCTCAAAGGCCTCTCACACAGCCCCATCCTTCAGGAAAAGACTTAATTTCAAGGCAAAATGGTTGCAAAGCCAAAGGCTGTTTTTTTGATATGCTGGGAAGCCTGACAGGACTATCACTCCTGATTGCTCTGTGATAAAAGTGTTCTCTACAGTGTGACACATCCAACAGTGTAAAAGAGGTAATCTTGTGACAAAAGTTTTGTTCTAGCCGAATGGAGAAAAGGGAGAAAAATACTCAGAAATCTGAGTAGATCTCTAGTAAAACCTTGCCTTGATCTGCCCCCTTTTGGTTGTAGGTTCTGTGGTTTGATTTTGGTGGTGTTTTTTTTGTTTTGTGTTTTTTTTTTTTTTTGGTTTTTTTGGTTTGTTTTTTTGGTTTTTTTTGGTTATTGTTTTGTTTTTTTAAATAAATCTCTATGGTTTGTATGGTTTGCATTATGAAGGAAAAAACCTCTTTTTCAAGAATACTAATTTTTTGCAGCTTCTAAAAGTTGTAGCATCACCTTAGAACCAAACATCGAGCAGGGACTAAAAATGCTTTATTTACTCCCATTTCCAAAGCAACACACCTGTCTGCTATTCAGGTGTATACACTAAACTGGATATAATGAAAAGTTTAACTTGCATTTAAGTTCAAAACTTAAAAAATGCCAGCACAGAGACTGTTTTTGTACTAAAAATACACAGCAACACTTCTTTTTCTTGTTTATTATGGTTACTTATCCAAGGCAATTGAGAAGTTGCTTTACTTCATTCAGGTAGCTCTTCAGGATCCCTGCTACTGTTCATCTGCAGTAGCATTTTGATATATATTCCGTGCTGTTTGGTGGCAAGATATAATCCAGTCAGAGCCTGTACCAGTATACCCAGACTCATCTTTCTGAAGACAGGCTGAGAAGTTGTGAGCCAGTAGCGCAACAGATTTTCTTTCCCTGGCAAGGGAGTTGACGTATACCTAAACAAAAGAAACAGTGGTGGAATTTTTTTTTCCATGCAAGTGTCAAGATTTAACATGAATATTTATGTAGATAGTAATTTTCTCTTCCTTCTCCTATGTTAAATTCGCTTGGTGGGACTGAGGTCTCTGCATAAATGCTTTAAGACAACCTGACCGTGTGCTGGGTCTCACCAAGCCTCACCCTGCCCCTGCTGTGCTCTGAACTACACAGTGCGACACTCGTCAGGGACTCTGGCTCCTGGGCACTGCCCAGGGTCACTGAGGTCTCTTGGCTGTGCAGCCACATTCAGTGGTGACAGGATGGCAGCCACTGCTGAACACACCCAGGCACAGCCTGGGAGACTTGTAAGGCTCCTGCTAAACACAAGGGCTTCCCAATGGATCACTTTGCAGATCTTATTTCACTTTGGTGTAGCTCTTACAAATTTCATTTTGTATTAGATGACCTTAACATATATCTCCTTCCACATTCTAAATGTCTACAAGAAGAAAAGTGTGCACAGATCAAATATCTACAGAATTTACACTGCGAGCTGAACATTTAACCCATGGATACATTTCTATCAATACACTGTAGATAAGACATACCTGGCTGCAAGGCTTGCATTCAAGGGGATAGCCAGGAAAATGGGATAGAAACCACCCACAACAGCACCTACTAATCCTCCTCTGATCACAGCACAGACCTCGCAGTTCAGCTGACCTGCATGGCAAACCATATTTCACTGCCAATATCCACACATGCTCCACCACATCAATTTATAAGCTGAGTGCAAGAACCTGAAAACAGGCTCTTGACAGAAACTTCCAAGCTGTACAGGTATGCAAAAAATTATAAAGGAGGACTATTAAAAAACAACAAGAAAACCCAAAACAACAACAGAAACAGTCCCAAAACAAAAACTGAGACAAAACCAGAAACAATCACTCCCACTCCATCCTATGAGGAATTTATCATTTGAAAGCTGACCTTCAAATGAAATTGTACAGATGGGGGGAAAGTGAACGGCTTTGCTGCAATCACTTTTACATGACTGAGTGAAAAATGCTGAAAATAAGTAATGTGTAAAAGAATTTTTTTTTAGAAATACATATAAATATTTATAAATATATATAAATATGTATTTCCTTTCCCACTCCACTTTGAGAACTCACTGCTGTCCAATGCATTCTGTTTTTCAAACTCTGCTTTACAAACTGAGGTTTTTTAAGATCACAACAGTTTAGGAGCAGTGTTCTGCAAGGAGAAAAACTCCTCTACTGTTACATTGTGTACAGAAAGCAAAGCCCTTTCAAAAAAAAAAAAAAAAAAGAGAGAAAGGAATGAAAAGGTTTTTACCTGAAAATAAAGGGCCATGCACAAAAGTTTCATAAATTGCTGCCGTTGAAAGAAATGGAATAACAGCCATTGGCATGGCAGACACCAGGGAAGCCTTCCTGACATGTAGGATGCTCCTGAAGAAATTATTTGCTACTAAGCCACATAAGCTTGAATTTGCTGCTAGGAAGTATTGTCCATGATTACAGAGGTTCCTGTGAAAGAAGGGAAATTGCTTCAGCAACTGAGAACTGTAAAAAAGTTTAGCTTAGTCAACACTACAATTCTCTTCTGAAAATCCTGCAACAAGGGGTAAGAGATGTAAATCACTCACTGGTGCAAAATGGAGAGTAACTACTTTCAAAAGCAGCCAGTGCAGCATCCTTTGTTGTATACCTGAGTTTACACACACTTCAAGAGTGAAGTGACAGGTTGAGAAGCCTTTGCTACCATTTTTTTCCCCCCCCATTATTATAGTTAATGGAAACTTCATTAAAGCTCTCCTAATAAACATGTTTTTAAGGATAATGTTTTCTGAAAAGAAATGAGGAAATATATATATAATAAAATGTATACTTTTAAAAAGTCAAGTCAATCTACTTAATCTTCTACATTTTAATGTTTTGAGTAGTATTGAGCACTACGGAAAAGATTTCAGAGATGTACTTGCTAATCTTGTGAAATACTTAAAACACTAAAAATGTCAGACATCAAGGACACCAACTATTTCTTGTTTTGAATAGGAAAATTCAAATTTTACCTTTGCAATCACAGGCTGTAAAATACAGGCGAACACATCAATAAATACAGAGGACGAAGATTATAATTTTAGCAGCATATTTAAGTACCCAAACCAGAGCAAATTAATGTACTCAGGACCAACAGAATTTACTTAGTGAGGTACAGAACTGCTACACTGCACAAAAGAAAAGGAAAGGAGGATGGAAGAGGTGGGGTTTGGGGTTTTTTGTTTGTCTGAGCTCCCTAGTGTCAAACACAAGTGCTTGGGTAAACAGGAACTCTCAGTTTGACTGCAGTGTGCTTGCTCTTCCTACCCATACATCAGTGAGCTCCCCTCTGGATACAAGCTCTAAGTCCTGCCAGTGACTGGCAGCTACTTCTTTCCAAGGCCCAGCAATCCATAAGTCCAGAGTTTCTATCCAGACATTACCACATCACTACGGAGTATCTGCCTCCCCTGCTCTCCTGGGGAAGGAGGAGTTTTGGAGGCTGAACATGAGGGCAGCAGATCCTACACAAAGTTGCAGCCTTTGCTTTCTCACCTGTGTGAGGAGGCCTTGTGTTACTACCAACAGTTTGTTTAGCCAGCCATTTAGTCCTATTTAAAAAAATATAAATAAAATAAGCTTCTGATTACTCTTATTTCTAAAAAATTTATCCAAGCTGATACACACATGCAAATGGCTCGTAAGAGAACCAGCTCAGGTCCAGAAAGGTTTTGCAGTGACATGCAGTATCACAAACCAAAAGGTCATTTGTGAGGCCCAGAAGGCATTTAGCTGGCTCTGTGCTGTACAGAACCCTGCTGGTGAGCCTGCAGGACACCAGCTGACTCCTCCACCACCACCTGGACACCTTAGTCTCGCCTTCCTGAAACAGGGAGCAGTGCAGAATGAAATGCAGAAACCAGCAGGTTGATGCTCACTCAGTGAGCTGGCCCCAGGCCAGCTCTGCTGGACACAAGATGACTCCAGCAGAATCACATTTCGGTTTCCTAGAAAAATTTTTAGCTGTAGCACAGGACTGTGAGAATGCTCAGCCAGTCAGGGCTGATCAGCCATTGCAGAACCCTCAGCACTGGGGAGCACATGCCAGAAACCAGCTGAGCAGGACCAGAGCCAGCACTCAAATAACCATATTGAAAAAACATAAACCAAGTCTTCTGTTCTGGACAATAACAAGCATCTTCACAATTAACTAATTTTGTAACTGCAAGGAGAATTTGTAATACAAGAATAAGGAAAAAGAAAAGCCTCCAGGACTTGAAATCTTTGATGCACTTATCTTCATTTATTTTACCAGCACTTACTGATCTGCTTTAGGAAGCTCATTGAACATCTTTTGTATGATTTCCATCCGCTTAAATCTTTCCAGAATTAGTCTTTTCTGTGGAGAATCCAGTTCAAGAAACTCTCTTCCTGTCATCTTGAAGTTCTGGATCATAAGGAAAAAAACTCCATATGTAATCCAAGTTGTACAGCCCCAGTATAAATCAAATAAGCATTTAGACTCTTTGCCACAAATGCATTCCCTATTTTGCATGGCAATATTCCAGATTTAAATTGACTTAACAGTCAAACAGACCTGTAAGAAAAAACCCCAACCAAATAAATCAGAAAGCCTACAGCTGCAGTGGGTTTGTGTGGCAAGCTTTTGGTAGCAGGGGGGATGCAAGGGTGGCTTCTGAGATGCCAGGAGCTCCCCATGTCTGACAGAGTCTGTTCCAGCCGGCTCCAAGACAGACCTACTGCTGGTCACGTCTAAGCCCAACCACTACAGTGGTGGTGTGTATGGGGAAGTTAAAAAAGGGTAAAAACTGGCGCAAAACAGTAGCTGGAAAAGAGCAATGAGAACACGTGAGAGGAGTAGCCCTGCAGACCCCAAGGTCAGTGCAGGAGGGGCAGGAGGTGCTGCAGGTGCTGGAGCTGAGATCCCCTGTAGCCTGTGATGCAGCCCATGGTGAGGCAGCTCTGCCCCTGCAGCCTGTGGAGCTCCAAAGGGGAGCACAGATCCCCCTGCAGCCCCTGGAGGATCCCATGCCAGAGCAGCTGCATGCCCAGAGGAGGCCATGACCAATGGGAAGCCTATGCTGGAGCAGGCTCTGGCAGGATATGTGGCCACATGGGGAGAGGAGCCCAAGCTGGAGTGGGTTCCTGGCAGGACCTGTGAGCCCATGGGGAACCCACAGTGGAACAGCAGCCGCTGCTGAAGGACTGACCCCTGTGGAATGGGCCCACACTGGAGGAGCTCACAGAGAACTGCAGCCTGTGGGAAGGACTCCTGTTGGGGAAGTCTGTGGAGAACTGTTTCCCGTGGAAGGGACCACACACTGGAAAAGAGTGCAAGGAGGAAGGAGTGGTAGAGACAACATGTGATGAACTGACTACAGCCCCCATTCCGTCTCCCTGCACTTCTAAGAGGGAGGAGGACATAGAGAAAAATGGCAGTGAAAGGAGAGGTGGAGGGAAGGTGTTTTAAGGATTTGGCTTTACTTCTCATTACCCTGTTCTGATTTGATTGATAGTATATTCAGTTTCCCCACAGTTTCCTGTTTTGACTGTAATGGTAATTGGCGAGTGATCTCCCTGTCCTGACCACAATCCCTGAGCTTTTATTCATACTTTCTCCCTGTTCTACTGAGGGGGGTGGAAAGCGGTAAGAGCGTCTTGGTGCCACCTGAGGCCAACCCTTCACAACAGCTCTTGATTACACTTGGAGTTCAGTCATTCAAGTGCTTCTTTTCCTACACGTTTTACTGCAGAGGAAATTCTCCCAGACTTTGCCAATCATACTTACCTTAAGTTGCTATTATAACGTGAAGGCTGTGTCCTAAGCCCTACCTACGGGACTGAGCCCGGTTCGGTTCGGGCTTGGCAGGAGGCAGGAGCCGAGGAAGCGACAGGATGACACCGGGAGCGCTTCAGGCCGCCCGAGGAGGGTCCCCAAACCTGTGCTTTGGGATCCCACAGACAGCACGTCACGGAGCTGTAGGCACCCCCTCTCCCTGAGCATTGCACACACGTCTCTCCCAAAGCCCCGGGCCCGGCTCGGGTCAGAACCCTCAAGCTGGGAAATTGCGGCTCGACCCCGACCTTCAAACCCCACCGCTACCAGTGGCTGCCCCCGCACCCAGAGGACCCTCCCGGCCTCCCCGCCGGGCTCAGGCTCCGACCTTGAGCCGTACAGACGGACACGACCCCGCCGCCCTCACCGAGCCGCTCCCGCCGCCTACAACATGGCTCCTCCCACCTCACGCCCTCCCCGTGGGCGCCGCCATCTTGCTCGCTCACATGACCCAGGACCTTCAGAGGCCGCCTGTGATTGGACCGTTGGCCGCCGGCCCAGTATGGCGGCCGCCGATTGGCCGCGGGCCGGCGGGCGGGGTCCGGCGCTGGTTGCCGGGGCGGCGGATGGCGGCGGCGGCTCCTCGATGGCGGCGGGGCTGAGCGCGGATCCTGCACCGGCGGCCGGGACGCGGGGACTCCCCCTTCGGTGCGGGGAGGCCCAGTCCTCGGGGTAACCCGCTGACCCCCTCCCCGCCTGCCCCCTCGCAAAGCCCGCTGCCCCCTTCCCTCGCCACCGGCTCCTTTGTGCTCCCTCCCCGTCCCGCCCCCTTCGAGCACCCCTCGCCCCGGCTGCGTCTCGCTTCGCCCCACCTCCAACCCCTTCCTCATCCCCTCGGCTCCTGCCTCTCTGTTGTCCCTCAGCAGCTCCGGGGGGAATTGTCCTCGTCCGTAAAGGCGGGCTGGCTCCGCCAGTTCACCTGCATCCATCGCAGTCCCGCAGGCAGGCAGGCAGGCAGGCAGGCAGGCCCCCCCCTGTGTCGTGTTTGGCCTCGGAAAGCAGCCGGCGGAACCCTTTGGGTTCGAGGGAACCGGGGACGGGGGCGTGGGGAGGGGATGAAGGGGGACAGCCCCCGAGTTCCTGCCCGCGGGACGAGCAGATCCCGGCTGCAGATCCGAGAGCGAAGCAGAGTCGCCCCTGCTGAGGGCTCCCGGCTCCCCGGGGAGGTGATGCACAGCCGAGCCCCGCCATGTGCACCGCAGCTCCTGGTCCGCGCGGGAAGGGAAGCGTTCCCTGCTTGTCCGCCTTTCTCAGACTTTTCCTTAACCAAGTAGATGAGGAAAATCTATCCCGTTTCTGTTTCTCTTTTTGTTTTTCCAGAAAAAGGGGGAGAGAGAGAGAGGCTGATACTGAAGCCAACCAGCTGCGCTTCTGAGTGGGAAACTCCGGACTGATCTCATGGCTTGCTTTTTATTTCATTAATACTTCATTATCTCTGAAAATGAACCTTTTGTGAAGCTCTTCTCCTAACTCTCCTTATTCCTCTTTCACGAGGTGGCTGCTGCTGTGCGAGGGAAGGAATGGCATGAAGTAAATGACTCCAGTATAAAAAGCAATCTGCTTTGCCCAAGTGCCCAGTGGGCAGCACTGTCACTTTAATAATTCCAGGTCAAGGGATTGCTTTCCTCGTTTTCAATCCTCTCTTTTAATACATGGGAGGATCAGAGGGACATTAAAGACCGTAAGGCTGGGTGGCTTGCAGATAATAAAAATGAAAGTGTCTGCCCAGTGACTTCTGTTGGGTAAGAGGGTGATGTTTGAAGGCTCTTGTCTGGTGAGGAAAAAGGGATCTTTTCAGTCTGCTGTGTAGTCACCTAATACATAGCTAGCAAAATTAATTCAAGAAGTGAAAGAGCTTAAAGAGGCGCTTTGGATTGTTTTTGTCTTCCTCCTTATTTGGATTACTTGGGCGTTTTTGTCCTGCAAATAATATGATTTTGAGCATGTACAGGTGGAGTATTGAGACAGCTGCGTAGAGATGGACTGTGCCTTAATTGTATTGCATAAAATCTTTTAATTTTCAAACTTTGCTGCCAGAAGAGGAGTTATAATAAGGTTTTATATTGCCAAGGAACGTTTGCTCTTGTATTTTTATAGAGTCAAATATATTTTAAAGAAATTGAAAGAATCTCTTTAAAAAGAATCAAAAAGCTTCTTTCCCCCCCCTTTTATTTTTTCTTTTTTGTGGAGAGCATCGCAAGTCCAACCCAAGGGAACAGCAAGTATTCATAGAAATGAAGATTGAAGCTGCATTTCCTTACTGAACTGTAAAAGTGTTCTGCAATAGTCAGTTCCTGACCTTGCAGAGTGTTCCAGTAGTACTTCGTTAGTACCTGTAAATAAGTGCTTGCAACCAGATTCAGAAGTAGGAAGAAGAATGCCAGTCAAGAAGAAAGGTGGGCTATGAAGCTTCATATCTCATATTGCATCTTCATTGTGTTAGATTGTTGATTTCTAGTACTTAACCATTTCAAATTAAAAATGCTTTAATGGGGAATGGAAATCGTTTTTCTTTTGCACTGAAAATGGGAGAAAAATCTGTGCACTTACAATAATAATTTTTAAAAGTAACTTTATGCTGTGTTTTAAGATTTACGTCAAATTTGGCCTCAAATGTTTTTTTTGTAAAAATCAGCTGTTCGAGATTTTGAGCAGCCACCAAGAGAAAAGCTTGATATTTAATTCTGTGAGAAGTCTCTCTTACAAACGCTAATAAATTTGAAAACCATAGTTTAATCTGTTATCTATTTGTGACATGTTTGGCGGATAAACATCAGCTATCAGTAGCAGCATAAATAAATAACAAAGTTTCAAGGCTGATTTTAAAACCAAGTTATGAGAGCTGTGTTTTGAAGGTGATTTGAACGTGATTTTTTTTTAAATGTGATGTTAATTAGCTTGAATTTCCTTGCTTTGGTACAATATAAAACTACTGTCTTTAAGGCTGTAGTATGGCAACATTTAAGAAAAGACAAACAGCCTTACATTTGGCCTCTTCTCACCTCAAGTTTGTGTTTGCAGCTTTGGAAAATGTGACTTCCAGTGTTCAGACAACAATTGGGAAGTATATGAAGGCAAATTCTTACTCTGAAAATACTTGCAGACCTTAGGTTATTTCTGGTTTCTTGCAAATTGGACACAGATTTAAAGTTTCTGAATATGCTAATAGAGTAAGGGTGATGGGAACCTTTTTTTATTCAGCTTATCTATCCAGTTGTGCCTGGGTCTAATATATCCTTGGATCTGATGATACAAAATGTGGGGGAAAGGGCAAAAAGTGAATGTTGCAAACAGAAATGAGGATGTAATTTATGTGGCTTTGGATTCTCTTCCGTGTAGGAATAATCCTTCATTAGTTATGAGTTAACATTTACTATATAAATAATGATAAACACACAGATTGCTAGAATTATTTTCATTAAAAAACAATAAATGCGATTTTGTGATTGTGTTTTAAAAAAATGACAGTGTAGAAATGAAATTTCCAACTTGAAATATTTTAATGGATGGCCTTGTCATTCATGGAATCGCTTGCCATTATGTGTAGTAAAGGTGGAAACGTGTGTGGAGTTCTGTTCTTAATTCATCCTGCTGTGCTGTAAAAGTGTCGCCCTGATGTACTGGGAGGCTTCTGTATCCTGTCTGTTTACAGAAGGAAAACTGAAGCTTTTCATTGTTCAGTTTTAATCCTGATTTAGGTGATTTACACTGAGGATGTTTCTGTGCCAGATGTTCAGCTGTAATTCAGTTTCTGAATACTTGCTGCAGGACTTTAGGGGTGAAATCTTAGAAGCTCCTTTGTGCAGAAGTGAGATTGGCAATCACAGCAGTCCCTTCTGGCCTTAAAAATCTCTGAATTTCCTGTTTGTTTCCAGGCAGTTGGGGTCAGTCTTAGTGTACACCAAGGCTTGAGTTCTTTGGTGTTACAAGGATGTGTGTTTTGGCAACATTAAAATATAAAGTCAAGAGACCCAAATGTCCCCCTTGAAATACTTTAAATTGTCACACCAATCAGCGTACTGAAGTTGCCAGTGTGAATGTATTTGATTATTAAAAGGGTATTGTTAAGAATGTATTTTAAGCATGTAAATTGCAGGATTAAAAGTGTTGGCGAATCAGCAACTTCATTGTGATTTTGAACGACTTAATTTGTCTAGTTCATGCAATACACTTTAACTTTCTAAATGTAATTAAAAGCATGCTGGCAACTCAAAACATTCTACCGTTTTTAAAAAGATTGCTATTTTTTGAAGTAATGCCTGTTAATTCTATGAATGTTAGGGGGATTGAGGGAATTCTTCCATGTTTGGTTTTTGGGTTTTTTTCCCATTTATTTGCTTTATGATTTGGCAGCAGTTTGTGGCTAACTAGTTTAGTATTTCTGATGATGACTTATTTTCCTTTTCTGGGGAAAATTTGGGAGTTCATGTTTGCTGTCCTTCCCATCGAGGGCATCTGTAGAAATCTCAGTGGGATACTCTCTTGTAGGCTGTGCAGAAGTGTTTCAGTATCAGCATTGAGGACAGGATTATCCCTCTGCTTGTCAGCACTTCTTTCTGCATTGCTATTTTGGATTTGATTAAAATATTCTCCTAAAATCAGTATGGAGACAGAGAAACCTGTGAAACAAGCTTTAAAACATACTGATCACTGGAAGTTGTTACCAAGAACTGTTTTTCTTTGGCAGTGGCTGGTTGTGGGTCTTCCTAAAGAAAAATTGAAGCATTTTGGGAATTTACCTTTGAAATAGCTTCACATTTCACATAGCTTTGCACCTCAGTTACACTTCACCTTACTGCGTGGTGTGATGCCTGCTATCTTGCTTTTAAAAGTCCAGACCTGTATAGTTAGGAAGAAAATAGTTTGCTTAATAATAAAAATCATATAACTTATAGGAAACTGTAATTTCTTATGGGTGCGGGGAAAAAATAAAAAAAAGGCTTGGTTCTGGTCGTGTGTCAGTACCTGATTTCCATTGCCTGATGTGCTAGAGTGAAAATACTTTGTTTTTCTCGCTTCAGTGTGGAGGGCAATGAGGCTCCACCTCCCCAGGAATGTTCACAGAGCTGACATGCTTGCTGGCAGTACCAGCAAAAAGCGAGGCTGGGAAGGGGCTATGGAGTATCCTGTGGTGTTGGATGTGCTCCCTGTAGGTATGGGGTGAGACATTGTATGGATTGGTGCACTACTGCTTCACAATTAAACAAAGGGCTCTTCTATTTGGCTTTTGCTCATCTCTAATTTTGAAGTACACTTAAAGTTTTAAATCAGACAAGACAGGCATTTGACTGTAGTTACAAAATGATTTGTTAGACAGTACCACTTAGAGATGGAATGAAATGAACAATTTTGAGAAGTAAATAAATTCATTATTTTTGCTTAATTTTTACCTTTCACAAACTACGATATTTCTGAAAGAACTATTCATGGAAATACGGAATTTCTTGAGGAGGTCTTTGCTTTAAAGTAAAATAGTACTACCATACAGAAGAAGTGAAGTTAGGTTTTTGCATGGTTTAGATGTCTGCTCTCCCACCCTCCCTCCCGCCCTGAGTTACTTAGCTTGATTTCTGTTAACTGTAAGGGACTATATTTAGGTCTGTAATTGCACATATTTTGGATTCATCAACAGAATAGTTAATAGCAAAAATGTTACTGTAATTCATTCATGTCTTTCACAGTGATGGAAAGTACTAATTAAATCCGTGCTCCTCTGTGATGAAGGCCAGATTCCAGTTTTGGAGCCCTGCTTGTGATTCACACAGCGATGGCAGGAACCCCTGCATCTGGGTGCTTGGCTGCACATGTGCTTCTAGACTAACCCTGTCATCGTCCTTGCACATCTAGCTGTGTCTAGGCAGTCAGAGATAGGAGTGTTGGGTTTTGTGCTGCCCTCATGCCACTTTGCATCTCTCAGAGGGGGAGGAATTGTACCTTTAGTCGGATGAAACCTGTGGGCTGCTGTTAAAACCATCTTGACTCGCCCTGCCTAGTTGCCTGTTCATAAAGATGTGCTGATTCTGTCATGGAATAACTTTTTGCATATTCCTTTTATATTAAAAATGCCTTCCAGGACATGTTTTATTAAGCACATCAATGTCAAGAATTAAAATGCGTCAGTCTGAATCCATGTGGACAACTTCTGGGCCATTTAGAAGAATCTGACAGATGTGCTCTATCAAATGCTGGATTTTGTAGTGGTAATGCTGACTTTGTGGTTGGTCTTTTGAAAGGAAAGGGTCTAAAAACAACTCAGCAGGAGTTTGGTTTTTTTTTAAAAGCAAAAAAACCCCTTTGCTTTTAAAGCAAAGTTCATAAAGGACCAGGCAAAGCCAGCTCCCATTCATGCCCTAATTCTCTTTCAAGTTGGAAGCTTCTTTTTAGCTAACAAAATTTAAATTTAGGATCATAACTTTTTGTGCTCAAAAATCTTGAATGTGGTTTCAGTCTTCTTACATCTTACGGCAGCAAATCGAATGTATATTGGAAATTTTCTTTCTCATTTACTTGTGACAGGTAATTGGTATTACAAGATTTTTGTCCTTTCAGTTGCTGAATACGAATTCTCAAATAAGTATATGGCTAAAAGGCTACCTCCTTCACTCCAAGTTTTGTTCAACTACGTCTCAGTTTTTACTGTTATTTTCAGTAAGGGAACAGTACAAATTTTAGTTGTTTACAGACTGTGGAAAGCACATTTTTAGATTTCCAAGAGTTAAACAAACAAGTGTCAGAAAATGACGATCTAAACCATGCCAATTTTCACCACAAAGCTTTGATTTAAAGATGTCACTGCTTTTATGGCAGTGAGCTTTTTCCAGCCAGACACTGTTTCTGCTGTGAGAAACAGTGAAGTATTTTGCCTACAAAAGGACTAAAGAAGCAGGCATTATACAGAACAAGCCTTTGTTGTATGCATGCACACTGCAAAGCTAAGTGGATCTGGACTGGGAATAGTGAAATTTGTGCTCTTTTATAGCCCTGCTGTTATTCTGGTATTCTCAGATGTTTAATGTAGATCCATCCCATTTTAGTTGCCTCACTGAGGTAGGGTGCCAAGCTTTTTGTCCTGGAGTGTTGCTTTGGTCAGCAGAGACAGGGATCCTTCTCCAAAGGGCATTTTAACACACGTAAGATCTGCATTGCCTTCTGGACAATTGTCATTTTCTCTCTCCCCACAGACAAAACACAGGGTAACCATACTGTAACTCCCTTACCTCAGTTTGATGATGTCTCATTCTCTCATACAAATTTTAGTGGTAAAACATCTCCTGAGATATTTATGAGAGCTGACACTCTGTGTTCTTTGAGTGCTATAAATTAACACTATTCATTATTTTAGGGGGGAAGAAAGTGTTATAAATTACTGTACTATTAGTCACTGGAATTGGAAGCAACCATAGGGTTGGTACAAGCACAAGAGGCAGCTGTGCATCCTCTCCTCCATTCCTGTTAAGTGCATATTGCACTCAGTAGAAGCAGTGGTGTCTTGCATTATAAGCATAATCTTTTTCCTTCTCATCCTCTCTTCTTTCCTTCCAAATTTGTTCCAGATGGGCAAGCTAGATGTCAGAGGATAACCATGGAGAAAAAGCCGAATTTGTAACTAGTGGCCAAGTGTGATAAAAGATGATTTTGCAGTCCCTGCTTCAGCAAAACCAGAAAATCTGCCTTACTCAGATATGCTTATTTTGGTCAGGTCATACCAGGTTCCTGCTTCTTAGAAGTATTTAAGGTCTGTTTCACTGAGGTATCTTCTTGTATTTACTGCAAATTAACACAGTGCTGAACAACAGCTTTATAAAAATAGAAATAAAGGTCATGTTTTCTTCTGCCATATTCATCCCAGAAAGAGCCAGCAAGGCTGCCCTGACCTAATGGGTGATGGCAGTAGTAATCAACATACAAAATATGTGAAGAAAACATTTTCTCTTTATTGGATGTGGTCCAGAAGAGTTTTTGGTAGCAGAACTTTGTCAGAAAAAGTCAGTGCAATTGTCCCTAAGTCTGTCTTCACTTTGGGCTGAAGAGGTTAACGCTTCCTTCAAAACGTATTTGTCGGGAATTGAATCATGTAGAGTTCCCTGGAAAGAGGGAATCTGGACAGTTTGCAGTTTCACAAGCAGAAACCAATCATTTCTGATTTCAAGTACCCCTGTCCCCTGACTGTATGGGCATATCTCGCATTATGCTGTAGTGGAATAATTCCAGCCTCCTGGTTCAGATCTAGGTGTTGAGCACCATGTTAACACTGCCTTGCAGATGGATGTCTGTGCTTTTCACCAAAAAAACCCCAACCAAACAACCCCAACCCAAGGTTTGCAAATCTACAGACCCAGTTGTTTAATGTCCAAAATGTAAAATTTGTTTTATATTGCCTGAAGGTGCATGTTGGGTTTTTTATTGACTCGGAGAGTCTAGTATAATACAGAGGTTTTCAAATTAAAAATTCCAACATGGATGTGAGAAAATGTAAGACCATAATGCCTATTTTGCTAATCAATAAAGGTAATTTGATCTCATTCTTTTTTTTTTTTTTTTTATTGCATTAGAAAGCATTTGTGTTACTGAATTGTTTTCTTTCATGTAATATAATGATTCTTTTGTATGAGTTTGGAAATTATTTATTCCTGAACAGGCATATTTTTCTTAGTTTTCTGTCTCACTCCAATTTTCACATTTATGTTAATTTTGGTACTGAATGTTCTTTTAAAGAAAAAAAAAATACCCAGCTGCTGTACTAAGTGTGCAACTCCTGGTTTTTACTCTTGCAACTATACATCAAGTTCCACTAGTTTTGTGTCTTGCATTCAATTAGATTGTAAGCTCTTCAAAGCAGGGCACTCTGATAATTTTGCATTGTTAAGATGTCAATTTACATTTATTCAGCTGTATAAATAAGAGGTTTTTATTTGGTGCTATGTCATTTTGAGGGTTTGTGGCTTCATTTTTCATTCTGTCTTCATATTTGCGTTGTTGATTTAACATTAACATTTGTACACCTAGATTTTAACATTGTGACAGTTGAAAGGCAGAAACCAGAAGGTGAGGTGGAGCTACTTGTAATTGCAGGGTGTCTGGTTTTGGAAGGAGTCTCAAGGCCTCAGAATCTGCTCATTCTATTATCTGAAATGCAAACAGGTCACCTGTATAGCAGCAAGGGTTGTTAATGAACAGGTCCCACATTGCCTTCAACACAAGTGGGAAAAGAGAACTCCTTGGAAAAAAGGAATGGCCCTGGTGTGACGAGCAGCTGATATCAGCAGTTGCCTTTTGTGGTCCCCTGAGGAGAAGTGATGGGGAAGAATTCGGATCCCGGAGTGAGCATCTGATAAGCACTGGGCTCTTCCTTATGGTAAAGTGTGATACATAAGATTAACAGGTTATACACTAAATACTGACTGTTTTTTCAATATTTAATTGTAGTTTACAGGCAGGGATGAGTAGGGAAGACATTTCTGTGGGATTGCAGGGGTCAGATAGTCATCTGGGGGCTCTGAAGCACGAATGTGGCTTGGTTTTCAGGATGCTTTCTGATAAACAGAAATGCTGGAGTAAAGTTTGTGAGTTTATGCTGAGCCACTTCCTGATCTTTATATAATATCCTATTTCTTGTGTTAGTACAGTTAGTCAAGTTTAAAGAACTATATTTAAAACAAAAAAATGTGTGAAGGCAGCATATTACCGGGACAGATATGTGGTTGTATGTTGTAAAAACAAGTTTGAAGATACATGGACAACAAGGTTACATTGAACTAATCAACATAGATATATGAAATTTTTCTTAGTTTTCCTTATAGTAAGTTAGACAAAAAGTCTGATTCCTAACAAATAGGCCACAAAAGAACCCATCACTTCCTTGGTTGGTTGTGTGTGTTGTGTTTCATAAAGCCAATGATTTTTCTGTCCAGCTCCATCCACCACTCAGTGTTCCTGTATCATTACT